GTCGTTATACATGTGTAGCTCAAACAACAGTTGATGAACAAAGTTCATCTTATCAATTAAATGTCTTTGGACCACCAGGTCCATTAGCTGGTGTACGTTGTACACAACCATTTCAACGTCAAGTTACATTATCATGGATTGTTGGCAATGAACATGGTGCACCTATATTACATTATACAATTGAATCATTAACTAATCATCGTTCATGGTGGGTATGGCATGGAAATTATAGTATTCCATTACCAGCAAATAAATTTATTTCAATGACATTAACTGGTTTATCAGCATTTACAGATTATCGTTTTCGTATATTAGGAACAAATATGTATGGTTCCGGTGAATTATCTGAAATCTCTTCACCATGTGTTACACAACCAGATATTCCAGGTATGGCACCAGCACGATTAGGTGGTGGTGGTGGAAAAATAGGAGATTTAAGAGTTGTTTGGGATCCATTACCAATGGATTTCTGGAACGGACCTGATCTAACGTATCGAATTTATGTACAAAAACAAGGAGAAAATCGACAACAAATTTTTAACGTACTTGATCCACTTCGAAACTTCTTTATAACTCATCTGTAAGAATAAATTTGTTTTTTTCTATGAAAAATTAATGATATTTTTGTTTTTTTTCGTATAAAATAGTGCCGATAAAATGTATTTTTATCCATATAATGTTCGTATTTCTGCTGTAAATCTTCTTGGTGAAGGACCTGTGTCAGGTAATGTTACAATTCGTTCAGCTGAAGATCGTCCAGCACGTCAAGTTCTTAATGTTAAATGTAGTCCATATAATAGTACAGCAATGACTGTAACTTGGGATATGATTGATGAAAATGATTATGCTGTTTTACGTGGTCGTTTACTTGGTATTGTTAAATAAAACACTAAAAATATATTCTATATTTTGAATATTTTTAGGTTATAACGTTCGATATTGGCGTAAAGGTCTTGATGAACTTACAAATTATTGGGAACGTCGTTTTCCAGGTCAACGTTCTCGTGCTATTATAATTGGTCTTGAAGCAAATACGGAATATGCTGTTCGTGTTTCTGTTTATACACAATTTGGTGATAGTCCTGAAAGTAGTTATTTTACACATCGAACATTTCGTTTACCACCACTTCTTCCACCACAATATATATCTATCCGACAACCAACTCGAGAAAGAGATAAACGTGTTCAATTATTTAGTGATATTTATACGTATAAAATTGAAGTTGAATGGCGTGGTATATGGACATCAGCAGAAGAAGAACCGTTGGAAGGATATATGGTAAAAAGAATTGAATTGGTTTTCAGAAATAAAAAAAATTTTATTATTTAGGTTAAAGTTTGGGAACATTACCAATCAATTCGTAATGCAACAATTTATTATGTTGATGGTTCAAAATATAAATTAATTATTGATAATTTATTCAAAAATCGTAATTATAAACTACGTGTACAAGCATGGTCTCTTGGTGGTGAAGGAAAATATTCATCACCAGAAAAAGAATTTCGATTTGGTAGGGTTCAATCTTTAATTTTGTCTATTTTTTAAATTTATCTTTTTATTTTAGATGACCAAGGACGTCTATTGATACGTAAGTTTACTTTTTTTCTTATAGAAAAATTTTCATATTTTTATATTCTATAGTTTATAATCCTGATACAAGTTTACTCTATCATAATAATGCCTTTCATCCATATCCATCTTTCATCTTATTGTTTATTTTACTCAATTTGTACTATTTATAATGATAAAATAGATGTGTATATATTATTTGTTTGCTACTCTTTTGTTCCACTGCAATCAGATCTGAATTATATATATAAATATTTATGTGCTTTTTATGATCATCTTCTTATTTTAGACTATTTTCTTTTTGTTTTTGAAATGACAATTTCTTTCGTATTGTGATTATTTACTGTGTTCAATCTTTTTTTTTATATATATATTTGACAGTATAATTGTGTGAATCATTGTGATTTGATAGATTATTTCAAGTAGATGTTAAATGTAGATATATATTTTATAATGATAGCCATTTGTATGAAACATTTTTGGCTACATTTGTGCTACTTTTTGTTTTCGTTGAATAAATGTTACTTTTTCTACTTTGATACTATAGAATTTAAAGATTATTTATTTTTAAGTCATCATCAATTCTTTCAAAAATGAGAAGGTTTATATTAAATGTACTTTTATCAAGTAAATCTTTGTTTAATGCGAAGAAATATCTAAAAATTGCTATTGATCATTATGCGACTTTTGTTAGACAAACAGAAATAAGTGTTTAAAGTTCTTTATCAATTATTTACCTAAGTAATTCTGTTAGTTATTCATAATAAATTCCACTTATTCTTATGACTACATTTCGATTTAATGGTACCATATTTATGATTATTATCGATATTTTATAGAGAAATGAATACTTAGAAAGATTTTGTCTGCTGCTATATTTAAAGTTTAATCAACTACACGAACATACTGTGGTACTCAATTAGCACTTTAGACATTATTAATAGTTTTCAATAGATACGAACTGACTAACATAATGGTGAGAAATCTAATTAGCATAGTATATACTACGTGAACTTTAATAACGTCACTCACGTATTCATCAATGAAATTTGAGTAGCCATTTATATATGGCTGTTAATGGTGGAGACATGAATAAATTGAGTATAGATGATATTATTCAATTTTAGAAATCAAGATGTGATTTATCGTTCGAAAAATTATTAAATTCATAATCTAGTAAATCAGCCAAAGAATATATCATTTATAAATTGTTTAATGATACAAATATCAAGCACTATAACTTATTTGTCATTTTTCCAATAAAATATTTGCTATTAATAAGATATTTTTAATTTCTTTTCTTAATATTCGCTCGGACAATGTCTTTGTACAGAAAGTAAAACATAATTTTGTAATTTTAAACAATGGTACTTTTAATAGTAATCTTCATGTTTAATACTCAACAATTAGAAGTTGTTATGATTACAGACATATGATAGAAACAAACAATTATTTGCAACCACTGACAAGTTTTGCACTTGACAGATCCTGTTGTTGGATGAAAACAGATGAATATGTCTTTGCAGACAAGCCATAGCTACATCTTTGCTAAAAAATGGAAAAAATCGAATATAATAGAATCATGTAAAATACAATCTTACAGCTATATATTAATGAAATAAAAATTTAAGTGCAGAGATGAGTTTTCGAATGTTGATAAATACTTTTGGATTCATTTTATTTCTTGTATAATATAGTTAGTCATTGAAAAATTAGTGTAACGTTCATATTTATATTAAAAATAGATTATTTCAATACGTTATAATTAGAACAGTGTATGATATCTTATTTGTCATTAGATATACATCCCAATATATACAATAATACTTTATTTCTTTTATTTCACATCAGATATAAAATGTCAAACTAATTAGTTGCAATCAAATATAGAATGTTTTTGGAACATCTCTTCTTCAACATGATTATATCGTTTCTTTTTCATTTCAATAAATGACAATGCATTCAACCAATTTATATACCTGCTCACATATTACACTGAAATCCGACATAGACAGAAAGAAGAAAACGTCTGAAGTATATATATTCTTATTCCTTCTGTCACGACATCATTATTCATTCCATCACTGAAGACCTCTTATTTCTATAAGCTCCTTCCTTTCTCTTTTCTTTTTTATCTCATTTATTCTTCATCACTCACTTTCATTTGCAGAACAACTCTCCTAATCACTAGTTCAATCTTAATCTCAATACTAACAACAACAACAACAAATGCATAATCAATCTGAATCATCTCGTCTACATCAATATACAACAAAAACACATATTCGTGAACGACCATTACATTGGTGTATTATTTTAGGTTCACTTTTATTTGTTTTTCATCTTGTTGTTGAAGCAGTTGCATTTGTTATACTTGGTGCATGGCATTTGACCAGTCGACGTCTTCAAAATGTACTTAGCTTTTCTAGTGAAATTCATCGTCGGGAATTAGCTTTTGGTATTCTTCTTCTTATTATTGGAGCATTGGGTATAGTAATGAGTATTCTTGGTCTTATTGCATTTTTTACTTTGCGATTAGTATTATTAAGAATAGTAAATACAACAAAATAATTATTATTATCGATAAAGTATGTCTTTCTTGTTTATTTATTATAGTTTGCAGTATGTCTATGGTTGGTAATGATTATTGTAAGCGTTGTTGGTATTCTCGGCATCATATTTGCATGTAAGTGATAATTATTTTCATAATATTATTTGTTCTATGAAATTTTATAGCACAAGTAGATGGATTGGTGCGACAGTCAAGTGGTACAAATGAGAATACTGGAAGTGTAAGTATATAGATAATGTAATATATTAGTATGGAAAATTAAAACGTTAATGTTTAAATTTAGTATGCTGAACAAAAATTTATGCTGGGAATGAATGGTGGACTAGCTTTATTCATGAGCTTGACCTTGGTAAGTTGAAATAATATATGTGAATATGAAAGAATAAATGTTTTTTTCTCGTTTATTTGATTTGATAGCTTGTTGGCATAATAATTGTTCGATGCTTGACTGGTGATGCGAATTCAAATGATCATTCGTATTATCGAGCACAATGAAATATTTGTGAATAAAAAAGAGAAGAAAAAAATGGAATTTTAATGTTATTTTTTGTAATTAGAATATTTTGTTTTGTATGTAATAAAAGCAAAAAAAAATGTCCATGACATTCCTAAGTCGGATTACATCATTGTACTGTATGTATGTTTGCATATGATAAGAACAAGAATAGATACGATGATTATTCTGTATAACATAATGGGCATCCACATACGGAAAATGTCAAACCTGTCAACACCTGATGATACATATAAAGCAAAAAAAAAAAGGACGATCAAATAGAAATGTTTTGTATTATGTAATAAATATTTTACCCTATAAGTACGTATCCATTTATCTTGCGTCATTAGAACTCGAGTAATATGCCGTTAGTTTTACTGTTATTTTTATTAATCAGCTCAAACTTAATAACTTCCAATGAATCATCATCATTTGATTTAACATTAAATATAGACGGTATTGATAATGAATTTCGATTTGTTGAAGTACCAAAATCAACTAAAAATTATCATCTACCATCTACAATTATACTCGATGATACTGAGAATCCTACACTTCTTAATTCATCAGACACAACACCTATTCAAAACTATCATGTAGAATCGGATGAGAATCTATTCGGTTTCGCTACTGTAGTTAATAATGAAAATTCAAATTCGAATCAATTATATGCTATGATACAAACATCCGATGGATTATTTTATGATATTTCTCCACCGATGTCAATATCACAGATACGAAGAAAACGAACATTGAATTCTGATTATATTGTTAGATCTCAAAATTCAATTATTGAAGATGCATATGTTACTATCACATGGAATAATAATAATAATAACCGTCAACGACGTGAAATCGATGAAATAGAAATGACAACCGTTGATACACTTGTAAATGAAACACGAGTACCAGCATCTGAAAGTATGGGTACATCTACACTTCCATCCGTTTCTTTACCTGATATAATGGAAAATATAACAATACCTTCAGCTGAAAATGATACTGAAATAATAATGAACTTCACAACAACGACTACAACTCCAAGACCTATACCTGAAAAAACTCGTCATTTACATCTCGAAATAGTAGCTGTTATTGATAGTCTTATCACCAATGATCTTCGAGCATTATTAAATAAAACCGAATTAGAAACTATTGAAATACTTAAATTATATTATATTCATATTTTTATGGGTGTTGAACAACTTTACCGACAATCATTATTACATGAAACACTTGATGTTCATATACGTTTATCAAAAATTATTTTTGCTACTGATAAACATCGTCTTCCATGGGAATCATTTAAAAATATATCATCAATAACAAATGCTTATCGAAAATCACCTAATAATGTACATTTACGACCTAATATTAGTATGAATCTTCTTAAATCATTACATCATGCTTATATATCAGATAAATTTGATACACGATTTTTTTAATAATGAAGCTGATCATGTTATAACATTTACACGTTTAGATCTTATTGATGGAGCTGGTTCAGCTTATGTTTTAGGTACATGTTTACCACAATATAAATATTCAATTGTTCAAGAAGATTTAAATGCATTTTCTGTTACAATAACAGTTACACATGAACTTGGTCATAATCTTGGTCTGGATCATGATGAAATTGAAAATCAATGTAATGATCCACGTTTTCGATATATAATGTCACCTAAAAATATGAATACAGTTGATCGTCGTCAATTACCATATTTTTCTGAATGTTCAATAGCACAATTAAATCATTTTGCTGATAATACAACAACAACATGTTGGAAAAATGAAATAATTAGTACAAGAAATGATACAAATTTAGAGAAAATACGAAATATTATATCAATGAATTTAGGACAAATAGTTAATGTTCATCAACAATGTCAATTACAATATGGACCAAAAGCACTTCCATTTGTTTCTGTTACATATAATAGTAAAAATTTTTCATTATATGAAGAAAATATTTGTAATCAATTAAGATGCTTTAAAGCACCGGAAGATGATTATATGTACTGGCAAGATGGAGCATTTGATGGTTTGATTGAAATATTCTCTTTCAAAAAACTTCATTTTTTTATATTTTAGGTACTTCATGTGGTGAAAATCATGTATGCTATCAAAAACAATGTATATCAACAAATGAAACAATGAAAGAAAGTGATTTAGCTAATTGTCCATATGGAGATTTATTTGTACCTATACCAATGTTAAATTTAATGGATAAATTTACATCGGGTAATATGCTTTGTGCAGATGCACTTGATTTATTAAAGACACGTGGTATGAATGTAACATATTTATGTTATGATTCAACATTACCTTTTCGTCGTCTTTGTTGTGAAGAATGCAAAAAGTAAATGTTCATTTTATTTTATATAATTCATATTAAGTTTCTATTCTTTCAGACATTTAATACCTGAATGTGGTGATCTTAATACAAGATGTTCTATGTTTGCACAATATTGTGAAATGAAATATATGAGTGTTAATGGTGTACCTGTTACTGAATTATGTCCATATACTTGTGGTCAATGTCCTCGACAACCACCACCTCCTACAACGACTACTACTACTACAATATCAACGGTAATTTTATTTTTCATTGTAAAAATATCAGAGGTTCTACATTCCGCATATACTTAATCTAATAATCCATCTTTGAGTAAGATGTCCGCAATGTCCTTTATTCTTCTTCTTCTTCTATATTTAGATACACTTCTAATCCTTCTCTTCCTTTCTTCTTGTATGCGTACTTCCAAATCAATATTAGTTTGTCGTTTTGTCACATGTTTTGCTTGTACACATGATGCACTTTTTCAGTTTAACCCTAACTCCCACTCTCTTTTGTTATTATGTCTACGATTGTTCCTAATACTATAAAACGAACAAATATGTCAGAAATCGTCACATCTAAGATATAGAAATCCTGACAGTGTTGGTCCTATAAACTAATATCACGGAAAGATTATATCTATGAGAATCAATTTTTAATCTGTCTAATTAATATTTTATTTAGACAACAAAAAAAGCGTCTGTAACAAAATCAGCAAGAAAACTTACTACAAAAAAGGCTAAATTAACCACACCAAAACCTCGAAAATATGTTAAAACTCAAACATTTGATAAATATACATGTATTGATTTAGCTGATTGTTCGAAATTAATTAAAGATTATTCAAAATTAAAAAAAAATGTTAAGAATTGGTGTACAGAATATTCTACTATGATTAATGATAAATATTTTGCTGAAATGTGTCCAAAATATTGTTCATTATGTAATATAACATCTGAATGTGATGAATATAAATTATGTCGAAATAATGGTACATGTATTAAAAATAAACATGATACATATCAATGTTTATGTTCAACATCAAAATTTTATTATGGTACATTATGTGAATATCGTCGAACATGTTTAGATAATCCTTGTAATACAAAAACTGAATATTGTTTTCAAACTCAAGGTGAAAATTATTTATGTTTATCCAAACAAGATAAAGAACAGATGCGTGTAATTTTAAATGAAAAAAAATTAATTTAATCGAATATTTCTTTTCTTTGTTTTTTTTTTGAAATAAAATTTATACAAGAAGAAATAAAAAGCTAAATAAAAGATATTGAATTATATAAATTGATCGTACTACAGAAACTGAATTATATACTCTACGATGAGGTCTATTCAGTCCTAAATTAGTACCTAAATATTCTGTACGTGGAATTTTCCATTTTGGTGTTATATTTTTTGTACGATTTTTTGGTGCTGTCGTTGTATTTAAAGGTGGTGTTGTTAATGGTAGACATGATACAGTATAATTTGATGTTAATTCTTTAACAAGTGAAACAATAGGAAATTTTCCTTGATTACATAATTGACCAGCACTATCATCATAATTAACAGGATATATAACAATACCACCAAGACGTTGTTCTTTCGCATAATTAATCTATTTAGAAAAAAGAATAAATTTTTTCGAGAAATTCGTTTTATTTACTTTAAGTTCCATACTTTGAAGATCATCATAACCAATGACTTCATCACCTATCGACAAAAAACAAAACTATTTTTTATGTATAATAATCTTTGAAAATATTAACCTTTGATCATAATTGGTACTTTACGATCATCGAGAAAAACCCGTTGCCAACCAGACATTGTATTACGACAGAGCTATTCAAATGAAAATATTTTAAAGAAATTTTGATTCGAAATTCTTTTACTTCGGTATAAGGTACACTGCCTACACTTGTAGCAGGACTACCAAGATCATGTAGATCACTAGTTAAACGAAATTTTTTTCCAAATGTTGGTAAACCAAGTAATAATTTCGATGGTTCAATACCCGTACTAATAATATATTTAATTGCTGAATCCTATCTCAAAATATTGTATGTAAAAAAGAATGATAAATCTTAATGCAAACTTGATTTAAATCTTTATCATCATCTGTAGCACCTGCTGCTGGCATCAAAGCACTATGATGTTCTGCAATTTTGTCTCGTGAACCACGATAATCATATGTTTGAACATTAAGCCAATCTGCACATCTATATATGAGCATAAATAAAAATAATTGAGAAAAATAAAAAAACACGAATTTCGATTCTAACTTTGCAAGTTCATCTAATTCGAAACGTGATTCAAGTTGTTTTTTTATTCCGGATATTGTTATTGTCAGTAATAAACGTGTTCGTCCTGTTCGACCAGCTTCTTCAGCATATTCCTCTTGCAAATCCTGTTAATTATATAAATAATTTCTAAATGAATTATATTAGATCTTACTTTACAAAGTACTGAAAATCTTTTTTTGTCTTCAATTAATTGTGGATTAGGTGTTGACGGTGGTCCTAAAGCTTCACTTGGTTCAAAATTTAAATCAATCCCATCGAATTCATGAGTTCGTAAAAGTTTTGTTGTTGAAATAACAAATTTTTGACGGAATTCATCTTTAGACATCATTTCATTAGCTCGTCTTATAGCATAATCTTGTCCGCCAACAGCTAAGAAGACTTTTAAATCTGGATCTTTATTAGCTTTAAATTCTTTCAATGGATTATTCCATACACCTGTCAAAATTCATAATAAGACAATTAATACAGGAATAAAGAAATGTATACGTACCAGTCAGTGTATTATCATCTTCGATGCGTGCAAATGTATAGACAATATGTGTACAATTTTTTGCTTCAGGATGAATGCCAGTCCATGATGAAAAATAACATACTATTTTAAATTCTCCACCACAATCAGCATTTATGAATGATAAAAGTATGCTGAATATTATTAATTCTAAATTCATTGTCGTTTCGTTAACAATGAATAGATCAGTTGAAAAGTAAGAGAATATGAGAGTGTAGAGAAAACACTGTAATTGTCATCAAAATTTTTTGCATCCCACAGACAATACATAACGTTACGACGATCTTATGTCCGGTGTATTAAATAAATATAGGCTCAAACGATTAGTTCGTTTCTCTTTTCTTTTTATCGGGACAGCATGGTCACATCAATGTTACATTATTGACTAAGACTATCATTCTCGATTTTGTTTTTTATTGAATAATCATACAAAAGAATTTATTCTATTTTGAAAACTATTGAAGTTAATCAACTAATAGATGTGTAA